TAATTTGGGTCCTTCGTTTTTAGAAACACCAAAACACCTCCATTTTTCTGTTTGTATGCATCCCTGCTTTTGTTAATCCTGCTGCTTCAGTCCCTTCCCTTAGCAGATGGTACTGGAAACCAGGCAGATTATTCTGTCTGTGTAAATTGGTTTTCTTTGTCACTTCATATTTTTAAGCATGCCTCCCACTTTGGGACTACCTCATGAGGCTGATGGCAAGTCTATTTGAGTGTCACACTAAGATGCAAACAATGGTTTACCCACTCCGTAACAGGACCAGTTAACAGGTAAAGCAAAGCTGCCTTCCCTAGCAGAAAAATAAAACCCTGTAGACAGATATTATCTGCTTATCTAAGGAGGCATTGCTATGTTGTTCATTACAGCAGTGTCTAGACTGTACCGCAGTAATAAAGTATGCTGCTGACATACATACCAGTACTCTGGCCAGACTCCTTCAATAACCTGGTATGCACAGTATGGCTGTGGCCTCTCTTCTTTGTTGATATTCATCTCATTTTGCTTCATGCTTCATCTTGGAACACAGACGGACCAACTTCTCTGACCTAATACAGTTAATATCTTGGAGAAGCAATGGTCCATGCTGTAAACACCTAACAAACTCATACCTCGCTCCACTTTGTGATTTTATTTATTGCATATGCAGCTGTGAGCATCTGCTATAGATAATGCATCCTAGAACCTTCTAGGGTGTACATAGCCAGAAATATCCATGGATCTGGATATATCATCTTTTTTAATTAGTTTTTTTTTCTTTAAATGTAGAAAATTTGCATTATCATGTATTTTTCTTTTAATTTATAACAGAATAGAACATTCAGTACTCGTCTCTTCAAAATGATGAGAAGAAACTATAGTTAATTTCTTACATCCAGTTGTAAAGCTAACACGCATTCTCTTTTCTTTGTTAGAAAGGCTGCAGATTTCATTAGGTTATTGAGCTGAGACGTTCAACAGTTTAGCTTCACTTCAGGTGCTACCGTTACTTCTAATCCTGTATCTTTCATGTAAAATGAAGAAAACTTAAAACACATTCCTGTGAATGCTTTGATTAAATGTGAAACAAAAACACAGTAGACACAATATGGCATGGGAGTGATAAGAAAACTCCAATGCAGTAGATCTTGTACTGAGGGGTGGAGTTCTGCAGGAATTTTACGTGTGTATCATTTAAAACCAAACTGCCGACAGATGTTTGCTACAGTACTTGTTAGAGGGCTTTGTTATTTTTATAACCCTTTAAATTCCTCTGATTTATAGAAAACAGCCATTAAAAGTCCATAAAATTTAATCCCAACCATGGAATTATTCACCTAAACCAAAATTTCCTTCTTTGCCGAAGGCTTTGCCCACATGGAGAACTGTTAAAGGGCAGCTGCGCAGGGCTACCTTCTGCCTGAAGGCACCAAGCCCCTGGCCTCTTCACAGAAGGTTTGCAGGGGTCCTTGCCTCAGTTTCTAAGGGTTTCGAACAAGGTCTTTACGCAAGAGTAGTGTATTCTTCCATGGGGGCTTCCTGAAGTCAAGCCAAAACCAAGAAGTCTTTTGTGCAGTTGTCAAAGATCAAGAATTTATGTCAAACCCTGTTTCTTCTATCACATCTGATAGCACTGTTCCTTTAAGATTTAGCTTCAGTACCATACTGTGCTCCTCACATGCCACACAGTTCATAGGTTGGCTTAAAAAAAAAAAAAAACACCAACAAAAAGCAAACAACCTCAGGAGAATGTTTTTATAATGGAAAAGGGATAATAATTGTGTATTTCCCCCCTTTATCACTCAATAATACCCAAGGAAGTTTTGTTCTCGCTACCAGGTCACTCACAGTGACCACTTACACCACAACTTATGGTAGTCACTAGATCGGATTTTAATTACACAGCCCTATCCCTTCAATTAACCATCATGACTAAATTTCATGCTAGGCTGGAGCATGGTAAATATTTCCTGAGAGCGTGTTGTTTGCTTTTCAGTCATGATGATTAATGCAAGTTAATTAGCAATCAACTCAAATTACAGCAGGACAATACTGGAGGCTGGATGTAGGGATTGTGTCAAAACAGATTTTTTCCAAATAGAAAGGATTTATGGCAGCCAAATCATGTTTCAGATTCACAGGTTGGGGGAGTTCAACTACGCCGTTCCACTGCGCAGCCTCTCTAGACTGTGATTTTTGTGTGTCATTTTCATATCAAAACTTAACCAACTCAGACCAGCACACGATTTGCAAACAGACATGGCTTCATAACTTTGAAGTTGTGCTAGGTAGCAGAGGTGTTTCAGGTCGTCTTAGATACTACCACTTCAAGCAGGTCAGTTTTTGTCAACTCAGTGGATGTACAAACCTTTGTCAGAGCAGGTGTCTCCCCCCACGCAATGTGTGGCTTTCCTCCTGAGCAGCCTGTTGCTTGTGCAATGTCTCTTCCATCTTTTTAACATGTGAGCATAACATACTCCTGCCTCAGGCACTAATGGCTGCTACGCCTCTACTCTGGTTAGAGAATTCCTTCCTTGAAAAGTGGTGAGTACTGTAGCTTGCGCAGCAATTGGTCCCTTTTCCCATAGCAACCTTTCCTTTTGTCTTTGTCCTTAGGCATCATTTTGACTTTAGAAAATGGGATATCAATTCTTTCCCCCCAGTCAGGGCTCTAGCTCACAAGCTGACCTTCTACAACAGCATGGCTGGAATGGAAATATGGGAATGGAGCTATTTGGTCTAGTTACCAGTTGTTGTTTACTAGAATAGTAAGAACATAATGTTTTAATATCCCAACCCATTATGACCTGGTTTAGATAGAACCAAGCATCAAAGCTAACCAATGAGAAACAGACAGTACAGCACTGACTCACTCACTGTACTATTCTATAGATGTGTGGAAACATATAATTATTTTTCTGAACCAAAGTTTTATTTGAAAACAAAAATGTTCACAATCTGACTTTATGGCTTGTTTTCATATTTTGGCATGGCATATTGTATTGGAAAGAAAAGTCTTTAATTAAAAGCAGCCGCTTCAACATTACCCCAGACTTCAATTTTGGTCTCCTGTTTTACTGCTTCTTTCCATCTCTTCTCTCCCTCCCACATACACTCCATGTGTTTAACCCACCCTTGAAAACTTTCATCACTTCCTTCCCTATTGTTTTGTGAGTCCTCCTCAGAGGTCTCCTTGCCTGCACAACATCCTCTGAGTTTGTGCAGAGTGTAGCCCATCCATGCTCTTTGAGGTTTCCTTGCCCTCCTCACAGAGTGAGTGGATGTGATGCCAGGGCTAATGAATTTCATAATGCTCTTTCTCCCCAGAGATAAAGGGACATGGTCTCTCACACACACTGGCAGGGCTTCTGCTCAAGTTAGTGGAGCACAGAATCACACAAGGGCTGAGTCTGATCTGAGACCAGACAGTCTGAGCTTGAGATGATCTAGTCCATGCTCTGCTCAAGCAGGGACACCAGTACTGTGTTGAGCTGTGTTTTGAATATCTTCACAGGTGGAGGCTCCACAACCACTTTGGGCAATCTGTCACCCACGCAGTTAAAAGGTGTTCCATCAGGTTCAGATGGAGTTTTCTGTATTGAGTCCATTTTTTCCTGTATTGTCACTGGACACAGCTGAGCAGACCCTGGCCCTATCTTCTTTACGTTCCCCTTTCAGCTGATATGTTGATTAGGCATCCTCATAGCCTTCTCCTTACTGAATTGTCCCAGCTTTCTCAGCCTCTCCCTATGTGTCACAGACTCCAGTCCCTCAGTCATCTTTGTGACCCTTCACAGACCTCACTCCAGTAAGTCCAAGTCTTCCTTGTACTAGAAAGCCAGGATATTACAGGAGAAAAAAAGATGGTCTTCTAAGGACATCGATGGCCATCTTGTAGACATATATTAACTACCATTTATCAGCCCAAACTTATTTTCAAATTTTGGCTTTAATCTCCCTTTATTTCATTATTTTAGCTCAAAAGCAGACCTAAAAGTACTGTCTACTGCCACTGAGTTGAACATAGACTTTTGCCAGTGCCCCTGCTAAGGTCTCAAGTGTTTTTCTGAGAGCAGCAGGTACAACTACTACAACTGCTTCAGGGTAAATGAGGAGCCAGACTTTACGGTAGTTTGTTTCCACTTGCCCCGTGCACCCACAGTTGTGCCATTGGCAGTAGTGGAAGCCTCCAGTGACTTACTAAGACTTCAGGTGTACATGTTGTGCACAGCTACACTGCAGAGGCATGATGCCACTTTGCATCAAATAGGAAGAAACACTGAACAGATGCCTTAACAGAGAGGCCACAGTGCCATGGAAGAAAGTACCAAAGCCTACAAACTGTGCCACAATGGAGGTACGTATCAGGAGTATGATGAAAGTAATAAAAAGTAGTTTTTAAATCGTGCCAACACCTTCGGGGATCATCAAACCCAAACATTTATGTTGCCGTTAATAACAAGTGACATGAAGCCAACTCTGTAGGTAGAGCTCTCAGCTCCACCCTTGGAACAATTTAGTGGTGTGCACATCAACAAAGAGCAAGCTCGGATACTGTCATGCCATAGTTGCATCATGCATGTGGGTAGTCCTTTAAACTGTACTCATGGTGCAGGCAGGTCATGCAGGCTCACCAGTGAGTTTCAGGAGGATTCTGCCCCCCAAAAAAACAGCTTTAAGAATTAACCTCGCGGTCTGCCAGAGAAAAAGATGTGGGTTGTAAAAAAGTCTTCTCTGTACAATGTTTATTCACTGTATGCATCCTATTTTCTTGCTGTTATGCTGCATCCTGATTGCTGTATGGTCACTTGGAGTGTCTGGAATAAGAGGAAGTTGTCTGAAAATTATGCTTCTTAGCTGAAGAAGCTCTCAAGGAAATAATAAAAACAAATCCAGTGAAAGGCACAGTGAAACGTGTACTATTCTGTTGTAGTTTATATGCTAAATAGTTTGCTTCTGTGAACGCAATTAAAATATATATTGATTTTTCATTTACTTTGTCATAGGCTGAGTACTTCTATGAGTTCCTGTCTTTGCACTCCTTGGATAAAGGCATAATGGCTGATCCAACTATAAATATCCCTCTGCTTGGAACGGTTCCTCATAAAGCATCAGGTTTGTGCTATCTATATAATAAATTGTGTTCCTGTAAAAAATATTCCACAACCAGTAAAGTCTACATATTGTATTCTGAATTGCAGTTCTGAAGTTTATTGCTAAAGAAATGCTTGCCACAGTGCTTAGCACTGAACAGTCCGTGAGTGCCTTGACTGACTACAGCAGCATATTTTGCCTGAGCCAAGTCAGATGAAGCTTTTATGTGTAGATAAATCAGCAGAAACTTGTGCAAAATTGTTGCCCAAAATTTATGTGCATTAATATTGTTACTGCAGTTGTGCAACTTCTAGAAAACAAAATCTTTGATCACTACAAGGAATAGTCATCAAATTATTCTGTGTCTCAGTGGTTGCAGTTTGTGGATGTTTTACTTTCAGTTGGGGTCAGCGGTTGTCATCGGACATTCAGCTCAAAGACAAGTTCTAGTTTAGGAAATTATCATTTACCATTTTCCCCTCAGTCGTGCATTCTTAGTCCTTCTCTGGAGCTTATAGCTCCGCAGCAGTGCCTGAGCCCAAGCCAAAGTGAGTGTTCCAGAAGCACCGCAGTGCACAATGAGCTGGCTGAAGAAAAAAATCTTTCCATGAGAGGTTATTGAGTCCACTTAGCTCTGAAGTGGATGGATATCAGTTTACATCATCTGTTGAGGGATGGTACGTGATAGTCTCTGGCAGAAAGGCAGAAATGTACATCCAGTACCTAAAAGGGCCTACAAGAAATCTGGAGTGGGACTTTTCACGAGGCCGTGAAGTGATAGGACAAGGGGGAATGGATTTAAACTGAAAGAGGGTGGGTTTAGATTAGGTGTTAGAAAGACATTCTTCATTATGAGGGTGGTGAGAGACTGGAACAGGCTGCCACAGAAGCCATGGATGTCCCATCCCTGGCAATGTTCAAGGCGAGGCTGAACGGGCCTTTGAGCAACCTGGTCTAGTGGAAGGTGTCCCTGCCCATGGCAGCAGGGTTGGAACTGTATGATCTTTAAGGTCCCTTCCAAACCAAACCATTCTATGATCTGGATGACAGTAGTGTCTTAGTAATCATAATTTCATGAGAAGCCTTAGCCAACCTAAGACCAGGTAGGATAAAATGGGAAAGAAATGAGAAATGGAAAAGGAGGATAAGACTACAAGTGGGTATCTATGATTCTCTATGATTCTAACTGATATACAGTACCTTGACTGTGTATCAAAGTCTTTCTTTTTGTCCAGTCTTTCTTTTCTTCTTTCTTAATGCACAGATTCTGAAAGTTTTTGTTTTATATCCTCCATTTTCAGCTTGTGGTAGAATGGCTTTGAGATAATATTGCAGCACAGCTCTCTGCTGTCGCACCTGGAATTTAACATTAATGATTGGTCTTTACATTCCACGTGGATTGAGTGAGTGCTATTGAAAATGGATTTCAGTGAAGAGTCCTATAATATTTGCACCATAATTGATGCAATTTGATTGGTTGCAAGCCAGATAAATTGACAAGACATTTAAAAGTAACTGAAAAGTCATAAAGGCAAAGTTCTTGTTAAGCATTATTTCCATCTCTATATAAAGCAGGTGAGATATATGGGAGGCTCTGCACTCTCCATCCTCTAATACAAGCTTGTTTTTCAACTATCTAGAAAAGCTAAACCAAAATGATCCCCTTATGACTATGTTTAGGAAAACATAATCTACAACTGCAGGCAGGCTGGAGGTGAGGTCTCATAGTTCCAGTGAAGGACTGTTAACCATCATTATGGGAGGTCTGATTAAAGGCAAAAAGGACTTACTCTGCTGGCGACACTGGTACCTCAGTTCCAGGACTAGCACGGGCATGTCCGTGGTGTTTCCTTACAGGGATCATGTGCAGTGCCCCACTGCACTTAGTATATATCAGCTGTATTTAAATCACGTTTGGCATTATAGTCAGTCCAGTGTTTAACAGCAATTGATGATCAGCACGTGTACAGTATTTGAAGCATGTACACTATTTAAGTTAGGTACTAGTATGATGGCTTTCTTTACACTGCCTGATGGCTGGCCAAAATTAACTAAGTAGCTTTGAATAAATACATACTACAAAAGTAGAGAATACTTGCTACTTTGTAGTTATTTCTATAATTCATCCGTTCCCAAAACCCTTCTGACAAATCCAGTCTGGTTTGCCTGGATCTATTGCATTACCAAATAATTTTTCCTCACATGCAATTATGAAAATCAAGCGGAAGTCACAAGCTTGTATTTAGGAACAAATCAACAGTAGCAAGTTACTTCTTGAAAAAACATTTCAACCCCCAAAATTACACCAGGGAAAATTAAGGAGGAATAAAAGAGGAAAGACAGCTGTATTAAACATGAGAGTGAAAACAAGAAAGAGGACTAACAGATAGATATCTTACTCAGAGGTAGCTGAACCTAGTTGTCCTGTCAAAATCAAGAGACTCTTGAAACTTCGTTGAGGATATTTGCCTACCACCAGCAAACCATAAGGATGGCTTTAGTGCTTTAGGGCCTGCCTAGCCTCTACTTTGTCTCATGGACAACAGTGGCCATAAGAAGACCTGTGGAAGACCAAAAGGAGGACAAACACATGTGATACTTACTTCTGTTTACCCTCTTAGCTCTGACTAGCTTCAGCTTGGAGGATTTCATGAGTCTTAAGTGATTTGTCTATTTTATAACCCCAGATGGGTTGCAGTTCTCTCTTTCAGGTACTTGTTCAAGCTCTCCTTGAGTCCATATTATCTTCTGGTATCTCCAGTCCCTTTGGCAAGCAGTTCACTGCCTCCCATTGCATGTGCATAGGAGTCTGAATATATGGGAAGTCCAAAACCATCGATGCTTCTAAGCTGAGGAGTGCTGGAATAAGGGTTTTCTGACCTGTCCCCTTGGACTTTAGTCCTAAGAGGTGCATTCCTGGTCTTTGCCCTAGGCATTTAAATGCCCAGTCAAATCTCAAGTGAGTTCAGGCATTTCCTACCAATTCAGTAGAGCCTGGATGTGACTATAGTGTCCTCCTTAAACTTCTGCAACATCTTCCTCTCAATTGCAATTTGCTCAGCTAAGTCACACATACCCCACATAAGCCCTGATCTCCTGCTGTTGCTCAGTAAGGTTACTATAAGTTTAAGGATTTCACTGCATTTAATCTGTTTTTAATCCACTGTAAAAGCTTCCTTCTTACCACAGTTACATGCTTTTTGTAAGTCTTTTGACAGACTGGTGTAAAAGAGCTTCAACAATGAAATTGTTTTATATGCAACAGATCTTTCAGTCTGTGACTTACCAGAAGCAGAATGTGTTTAAGTAGTAAGTTTTGCTGCATCATATCAAGGCAATGAATAAGAAAAATGGCCAAATTATGACTTGCAAAATTATTTATAACAAGCAATTTAAACCAAATCAAATGCATGGCTGTTAGCTTAGTATTTGGTTCTGAAAGCTCAGGCCAGCTTCAGAAGAAATGAATAAACAATTTCTGTTAGCTGAATCTAACTTACAAAGCAGCTAGGAAGAGCCAAGTTTGAATAAAAGACATAAAATCATTTCATCTGAAGATTATTTAAGATCACTTGTGACAATCACAGTGGAGGATTCCATAGCTCTGAGGTATTTTGCTTGTTTCCTCATTAAAACACTCCAGATTTACTGGCCTTAATTATTTGCTTAAACTCTCTGTAGTCCAAAAGTGTTTGAATACTTTTCTCGGAAAGATTGATCTCCAAATATCACTAACTAAACAAGATCTGTCTGTGTCTTCTTTTTGAACATTTGCACCCATGATCTTATTTATCAAGTGTACCATCTTGCTAGCACTCTCTGAAGGCAGCTTTTTATTAAATCAGTATCTTATTTAAGTATTATATGCAATATCCAAACCATATCTAAAGTAACCTTTTTTCCCCAAATGTGTACAATGTTTTTTTGCAGAAATGGTACAAAAGCCTGCCAAATTTAGACTCAAAAGTGACCAGCTCAGGTTAGAAAACTGAATGTAGGCTTACAGCTTGTTTTGTTGTATCATTAGATACCTCCACACGAGTCTTGTCTGCAAGCAAAAGTCTTTGTTAAGATCACTGTCTGTGCTTTATCCTGTTGGGGTTGTGTCAGTAAATGAGCACTGGGTCATCTCCTGTATTTCTACGTACATACATGCTGTACGTGCTGCTGTACTTCTAGTCCTGGAGCCACCTATGAATAGGGTGATCTGTATATCTCTGTGTTAAGGGTTTTCAACAATGGCATTACTCTAAGCTTAAATACAAACATATCTATATGTTTTAGTATTTCAATGTGTGCTTCTATACCTATATAGATAGATATGTGCATGTAAATATACTGTTATTATTCTCTTTTAAGTTGTTCAGGTTGGATTTCCTTGCCTTGGAAAACAAGACGGGGTCGCTGCATTTGAAGTGAATGTGATCATAATGAATTCAGAAGGCAATATTATCCTCCAGACCCCTCAGAACGCCATCTTCTTTAAAACCTGTCAGCAAGGTAACACTAAAGAGAACATGCTGGAACACTGTTAGGCCAGGTCACCTAGCTTCCTTATGTTTCATTCAGGATAACGGCTAGAGACGATAGAAGTAAAGTGGTAGCACAATATGTAGCAATGGTGGTGAATGTCAGGGTGTTCTGGCTGGTTTTGTGGGTTTGTTGCTCATTTACTATGTGTTTACTAACCCTTTTCTTACTGTCAATTCCATCTCCCTTATCAGACCGGGTTGGAGGCATTTCTTCTGTTGACTGCTCATCAAGTCAAGGAAGTTGGTAGAAATGTACCAAGCACCTGGTAGCAAATGATTTGAGGTGCTTGGAGGAAAGTTGGTCCTGTGAAAACAAACATTTCCAGCAATGGCACATGACCTGGAGAACTGCACCTCTGGGGTCTGTAGTGGGGACACTGCTTTCAATTAATACTGTTTGGTGCCTTAGTTCAACAGCTTCTTAAATCTCAACTTGCACATCCAAACTGAATGCAAAAAATCCTAAATCAGAAAAGTTCTGTGAAAGTTGGCTTTACCCTTTGTGGAGCTCAGATAACAGCCTCTTGGTGTTAGATACAGGTAAGGTGGTGGAAGTTGGTTCTAAATACTTGCAGTCATCAAGCAATAAGCGTGCAGAGGATGTGCTGGTAGGGGAAGGGCACAGTGAAGTTACTGGGAGGGAACCTGTTTAATCAACCAATCTAGGAGCCGTAAACACTATGTAATATGACTTTATAGATTAATTCGATTCACTTCAGTTATAATTATCACTTTATACTGAGGCTGTGGCTGTGGAAATTGAAAAATCAGTATCTAAGATAAGGCAGTTATCCCATGTCATGTCCAACTGTATCAAATCAGCCCCCATGATGGGGCTGACGTACAGAGAGTGAGATTTTTATTCTTCTATTAAATCTTTGTTCCCAGTCCTACACTTTCTTCTGTATGCTCTTTTCTCTGAGCTGACTGGCTATAGCACGTCCCTGAAGAGAGAGCAGCAGGAGTAGGAGCTATTTATTCTTTGAAACCTCACTACACCTGAATAGCAAAGCTGCTTTGAAGCCTTGCTGCTGCCAATTAGCCCAGGCAAAGAGGAGGAGAAGTGGGCAGAGAAACAGGAAATAAAATGAGGATTTAATGGAAGCAAAAGCAATCAGATCTCAAGTATGAAGTTGTGTGTCTAATGTAAATACAACACAAAATATTTGCTACCTTTTATTTTCAGTTTAGTCCGAAGATGCTGAACTTAATAGACTTTGGAAATAGTGGTGGGGTAATCTAATAAAGACAGCAGAGTTGCAGGTCTATATTGTGGGAAAATGTGGCTTAAACAGAGGCAGCTCCAAATTCAGTTTAGTAGTAGCATTCACTGAAGTTAACATTTCTGTGACACTGGTGGTTGTTGTTACCATTCTGATACGAGATGTAATATTTAGCACTTTAGCAGTATGACATCATATGGCCTCTCAGAAAAGCTGGGGGTGATTACTGTCCCAGCCCTTTGCTCCTGGAGACAGCTGCAAGACACAAGGATGATTTGCCAACCTCTAGAGGTGGATCCAAGAGGACTTTTCTCACCTCATCTCTTCCAGCTGGGATATAGCTTCCCTTTGTGTCCTCTATCCGCTAGGGTGGACACTGCAGTGTTTTGGAACAGTTGGTCAGAAGGATGAGAAAGTCCTTACTGGTTAGTGTCAGAGCAGGGGTGAATTTCCTCCCTCTGAAAGATGTTGTTTGTAGTGAGGAGCTCCAATTCCTCCTGCTGGGGCCCCGGTCACTGTTTCCAGTCATTCTTGGCCATCCAGAAGGACCCTTGCCAGAGGAAGTGAGGAGATTGAGGGATCATTTTTGTGGGAGAGGAGAGGATTTGTTGTGGCTAAGAGGTGGCCACAGAAGAATTATGTTTTCCTATTTTTCTGTTTGAAATGGTATGTGTTTAAGCATGCATTTTCTGTAATGAATAGCAGCTCTGCCTTCGGGTACAAAGAAAGAAGCATTTCCAGAAAGGGTCCTAGAGTACAGTTCTTGTTGGAACACAAGAAGACCAGAAAGTCTTTACTACTGTTACTACTGCTGCAAACAGCTTTACTTTTAAAGTAACAATTTTTTGCTTCTATGGCCTTGGATAGAAGAGCATTTTAAAATCACCCCTTTCCTCCACGCTCTGTCCTGTTTGTTTGGCAGCTGTACACACTATCCAGGCACCTGATCAGTATATCAGGTTTTTTTCCTTTTGCTTTGTCTCAGACTTACCCTTCACATCCTACTGAATAGAGAGACCTATTATGTGAGTGCAGCAGAATACTGTGCATAGTTACAGCAGCCATTGTTTCCTGTGGCTCCAATCTGCTATGGGATAAATTTTTAAACCCAAGAGTTTAACTACAGATGCGTCACCTGAGTCATATTAGAAGGGGAAATAATTCAAATGTTTTAAGTCCAGGATTATGTTTTCCTCTGTGTTAATATGAGCTAATAAGAATCTCTCTAGGATGCAGAAATGCCTCAGGAAACCTGACCCTCCTGAAGCTGTAGACATCCTGTTATTTCTTGAGACTTGTAACAAATGCACTTTAAAGGCTATAACTGCTTCGGTTTGAACTCAGCTATTATTCAGCTGGGAATCAGTGTAAATCAATGGTACATCTTTACAGCCTCGGGATGTACATCAGCACTTCCTGATGAGGCAGTGGAAAAGAGGTAAGAATGCCGTTGGCAGGTGTTGTCAGTCACGTATGTTTACAGCACTATTACACCAAAGGAGAAGGAAAAATAAGATGTGATGCCCACATTACAGCCAATTGTTGTCTATAGATTCTGGGTTTGACTTTGGGTTCAGACATTTTAATCTATGTCAGTTTCTGAACCTTGTAACTCGGAGTGTCACACACAACATAGCATCAAGATGAGAAGGCCATTCCTGCTCTGCTAAAGCTGCCCTGTGGCTCTGGTACCATGGATCACTAGTGGTGTTCAGTTTTTCTAATGGGAGCAGGCAGCCTCTACTGCCTGCCTTCTTCTCTGTGACAGATCTGGGAAGGTCTTTTTGAGTAACTGTTTTTCAACCCAGCAATCATGTTTTCATGGCGTTCTAGAGGCTTCTGTTTATTTCACCTCTTGTTCAATGGACACTGGTGTTTTGAGGATGGTGGTGGTACCCAGAGATAGTTCTCATCCTTATATAATGCAGCCAAAGTTGTCAAATACTTTTACCAGTGTCTGATCAATAGTTCAGATATGACCAAGAACTGGATGTTGATACAGGACTATTGTGCAGGAATGCTTTTATCTTTCTTTCTGTCCTGTTTCCATTTAGCCTTGAAGCTGACTCTTTCATGTGAATATGGATTTCGTCACTTAATCACCTTGGTAGTAACAGATGTAGTAATTAATGCAATGCAAGTGCAGTGCAGTCTACTTAAGGCTGCAGAAATTGAAACTGGTCCTGTATACTGAGGGCAGGTCTAACCAGCGATGCAAGCCCTGCACTGAGCTGCTTGCTCATTTCTGCACAGAGGAGAAAGGACTGGACTGAGCAGAGCACCCACATTGCTTGTGCGCTTACGGAACAGCAGAGCAATGGAAATGCACAGTCTGTCGACAAGCACATTGTGCATTCGTCTGAACACGTTATGAAACTTCTATTTTTAGACTAACAAAAATAAAACACCCTAATTTCTCTTGAGGAGATCTCAGCTGAACATCCATTTCTGTCAGTATTTGCCTGTCTGTCAGCAAATAGTTTTTCTGTTGTGTCAAATGAGCATGCTGATCCTACCGAGAGTTGGCTGGTAGCTAAAGTATATAATACTCAATTCAGTTTGTTGTTGTGTTTTATGAAGCGGAGTGTCCAGGAGGATGCAGGAATGGAGGGTTTTGCAATGAAAGACATGTCTGTGAATGTCCAGATGGATTTTACGGGCCTCACTGTGAGAAAGGTAATTTAAGAAGAATCTTCTTAGCTGTCTTCTTTATTATAATCTCAACGAAACTGCAGCTACCGCACTGCAGCCTCTCCTAGAAATAAGAATGGCTTGTTCTGAAGATTTCATGTATTTTAAATCCACAGATGTAAGGGAATTACTAATATCAACCACAGACTAACAGAAACAGCCCGTGGTTGGAAATTTTCTTGTTGCTTACAAGAAAAATGTTTTCTCTCTAGGAGGCTGCTTTTGACAAAAACTGACACAATACTGAAGTGATCTTTAATCACAGGGAACCCATCTGCAAAAAGATGAAGTAAGATTCTTCTGCTAATGAGGAATAGCTGGGAAACAAAGCACAGGAATTCAGTTGTTCTGCATTTGTTTATTTGGAGATAAGATCTAATTTGCGGGCAGGCTGACAACAAAGATGGGAAGATGAAGGAAAGAGTATCCTTTTCCCTTCCATTAGTGACTAATAGCCCCAAATGACATTTGCAGGAGTGAAGAGCCAGGAGAATGGTGTGACTTGCTGAGGAAACCAGCTCTCCTTCATGTCTCTTCTTTCTCCCCCAGTGGCAGACCCTCTCCGGGGTGACTTGACATGGAGCAAACCATCCCCATTGCCATCCTTCCACTGCCAGATGCTTTCACTATATTTAAAAGATTGAGTACAAAGGAATCAGGGACTGTTCTCTGGCCTGCAGGCTAACTGGCAGAGCACAGCTTACATCCATATGTGTAATAAACTATCTTTCTCTCCAAAAAAACACCTCTCCAGACTCAGGCTTTCTGTTAGGAGGAGCCTATGGCTGCTGCTCTGCTGGGGACAAAGCCATGCCAGGAACAGCACCAACAATTTCACAAGATGGATTATCCTGTGCCCCTACTTTTCCCCATGACTGGGCTCTCTTTAACTCACTAGTATGGACCCAACCTCACTGCATGTACCAATTGAGGGCAACCATGAAATGAAGCATTGCCTCCCCACATGCCTCCCTGGAAGAGCTTTGTGGGGTGGCCACAACTGCAGAAGAGTCTTGGCAGAGCACAGGGGCTCTGAAGAAGGTTCACAGGGAGCATGCAGGGCAATTTGGCCACTAAATCAGGCCACACAGCAGGCTTCCCTACCCTGAATTAGGTAGCTGTGCTTATGCTTAGGAATGAAGAAGGAGAAGGGAGCTTTCCTTGTAAAGCCTGCCTGGGAACCCCACTGAAATACTGACACTTGTGAGTGCAACCTCCAAGGAGACAGCCTTTTCTGCAGAGCTGAGGTACCAACCGCTGCACCAGAGTCCAGTCATATTGAGGACTGGGGGTCCATAGAGAAGACAGAGATCTGGGGGAAATTCAAATAACCTGAGAGTGTAGGTGGGCACTTTGCTCTCCCCTGTTTGGAATTAAACTGTACAAGGGACTTCCTTTAGGAGATGAGTTACTTTAGTCTTCACTTTTTTAGCAATACTGTATACACATTGCCAAATACAAACCAGAGATGTAATTGACTTAATCCACTGACAAAGGTGCTGTGCAAAGGTGACTTATATTCAGCAGAAGGAAAAGTAGCTTAAGGAGTCAATGTGCTGTGTATTTACATAGATAGTTGCTATCACACCAGTGATGTTTTTCTGTTCTTCCTGCTTCTCAGCGCTGTGTACTCCTCGCTGCATGAATGGTGGGCTCTGCATTACGCCTGGCCTCTGCATCTGCCCCCCCGGCTTCTATGGCATCAACTGTGACAAAGGTAACTGCCACCTAAAACCTAAACCCCTCCAGGCTCCATATATCCATCAGCCTTTTCTTCATTCACATGTGCCAGTTTCCCTTCAGTAGTGGGTTTTGGAAAGTCAGGTGAGTGATGAAGTAGGTTTTGAATGTTTAGTGATTCTTCAAACAGATGCTCTAGCACAATCTGGCAGCTGCTGAAAGAATGTACGGATTTGCAGTGCTTTTGCAGCTGTGTGTGCAGGCATCCATATACACCAGCTCTCTGAAGGGTAATTCAGATAATCACTTTAGTTGGTCCATTGAAAGCTGCGGGACCTACCACAACATTCACTTACATTTCTGGCCTAAGGGTGTAAAAAGAGTATTTCAATTTGAACTCTATTTTTGTGGAGTAAAACCGGTTTTACTGATTATTTAGTTCATTAATTTGCTACATCTAGACAGATTAATAAAATAAGCAGCTATTCATTTTTTGTGGCATTGTGGCTCACGAGGGATAAGAAGGCGCAATCAGTTGTTCAGAACTGTAATTTGGAACAGTCCAAGCTACCACATATTAAAAAACCCAAGTAGTTTCCTGCAGAAACTTAACTGACCTGCTCATGGCAGAGCAAATTAGAGAATATTCATTGTTGCAGGACTATATGAAATGAAAAGTAAATGCAAAAGGTCCTAGTGGACTTTCCAGCAAAATAATGGGAACCTTCCTAAGCCTTCAGGTATGCTGGCATGGATTGTTGGTCTCATTGTCCTCCTGACTTGTATCTAGTCCTTGATGAGGCTTCTATCACATTTAAAAATGTTTCCAAAGTGCACTGAAATGAAATGCTTCCAATGTCTTCAAGAATTAATGTGAATCCCAGCTGTCTGGTGAAGAGTCATGTCCAGCACCATGTAGGTAACTTGGCAGGTGGGGGACACAGCATTTGCATCTATGTCACCACACAGCAAAATCTTATAAAGGTTTCTTTCTAGTCAAAGCATTAATTAAGAACTGTAGTGAAGTGTCCTTTGTAGAATTAACTTCTAGTCCTAGATTGTGCTCCTTTTATCAGACGCTGGCAGTTTCAATAGCAATAATACCTTGATCCTTCAAAGAGCTTTACATGTGAGGATTGATAAAGATGTAACTCAATCCGTCCTCAAGGGTCTCACTGCTGTCTGGTTCACTTGTCTCTTTCTATATTGACTTGTGTGTGTGCCTGTGTCAAGCACAATGTAGGAAGAAACACATTTCAGTCTTCCTTTGCAAACCGGATGAAAAGATGTTAATACAACTTCTTAAAACACACTCAATGTTTATTTATGATGAGCAGTAGAAAACATTAAGGCCAAGTCAGACTGAGTTCATATTAGTGACTTAGTTAATTCCTGGTTTATTCATTTCAGCAAACTGTACAACAACCTGTTTCAATGGAGGAACGTGTTTCTATCTGGGAAAATGCATTTGTCCTTCAGGATATGAAGGAGACCAATGTGAAATAAGTGAGTAGCATCTCCGTGTGCTTCCTTTCACTTATGTCAGCTTCTTCTAGTGTCAATGCCTGTATGATGATGTGCAACCTGCCTCTACTGGGCTCACAGGGAGGGTCTCACATGGCAGGTTGGTGCCTGCAGAGGGTCAGATGCCACATGCCTCCAAAGGAGTTTCCTACTAATAAGCTTGACTCACTGATAGACCATTTCATACCTTTGTTTTTTTTTTTACTAGAAACTGGGCTTGGTGACAATGCTCAAGGTGTTAAGTATGCAAGCAATACTCTGTGGCAGACAGATGCACTGCTGTGCCAAGCCTGTGTGGAGCAGCTATTTTCAAACATTCTGGCAATTCATACTTGGGCACAGCAAGTTAGGTTTGAGCTCACATCTGTCAAAGGGCTACTATAAGTTGGGAATGAAAGGGTTTGGGGCAAAGGAAGGACTGAACTGTAAGAGCTAAGCACTTTCATGGAACATATTAAGTTGCATTCACACGGCAACTTGCAAATCTGTGTCACAAAGATCAAAAGTTCTGCTATTTTCAGAAGTTTAGCATCAAAGCATTCAAAATACTTTAGCTCATGGTTGATCTAAGTGTGCTGTGTAAAGCTGGGGGTTATGGAGACGTGGTTAGGCTGGAACAGACCTGGAAGGTCAGCTGTCAAGTATTTGATCTAACTAAAAGAAGAGTTTTCTCACAGCTCTGTTAAATTGGATTAATTCTATAGTTCCCCGCACTTGAACGGAGTATGAGCATTTTGAGAACGCACTCCTAGGCCATTCTTTTGGGGCTTAAAGCTTCTAACAGGACACTGTGCAAGGACCTTCTGCTGTAAATAACATCCCCAATGCTCCCCAGCATCTTCACAGAAGCACAGAGTGCATCATTTGACCTGGGTTACCTAAGAGCTGGTTTTTTAATATGTATGACATATTAAAGACACTGGATCTTCTCACAGTTCTGAAATTCATATCATCAAATACTTTGGAAACACATGGAAATAAACTCTTAATGGGCTGTCAGCCAATACAGGACTTAATAAAGATTGTCCTTTGATATAAATTCAGATCAGATTCAGCAATAGCAGTGTGGGTTTCCACTGAATTCACCTTTGCTTACATCAAGTTCAAATTTGACACTCTGACAGAACCCCGTTTCTTTCTTCAGTTCCCAAACAGTCAGCTTTGATACTTCTCAGACGATAAATAAGGTTTGGTTCAAATTTGAGAAGCATCTATTTTATGTCAGTGGTGGTTTTTTGAGGAGCATTCGTAGAACTGATATTACCGGTCTGTCTGCGGGACTCAAACTCCTTTTTGTCTATTGTTGTTTGGGGTAGGTGCAGCTGACTTCAGTTTCTTGGGAAGGCTTACCTGTGCAACTTGAACTACTCAAAATACAGGCACTAAACTAGTTCCTGTATGAAAGAAATTAAAACAAATTCAGGATCACACTATGCTGGGAGCTGAACAAGGACGATGTTGATGAGAGCAAGGGAAGCTGTGCACTTGCCTTGGCTTTTGTAAAGCTCAGACAGCAATTGTTAGACTGTGATTGATGGCTGCTACCACCTCTGGGCACTGCACCCGTGCCAGCACAGCAGTGGAAGGCTGCAAGAAATGCTAGACGAGGCTGACAAACAGCAGAGAAACACGGCTCAGTTTCTTTCCTTAGATCCAGGGCCAGCCACATTCAGTCATGGAGGTCTTGAAATAACAAAGGGGGAAAACCTGTCAACAGGCAGCAAGCCATCTTCTGAAAACTACAAAGTTGTTTGGTTTTTTTTTTAATGTTGTTTAAAGAGTGCTGGTCTAACAGTTGAATCACTCTGTAAGACCCCTGGGAAATGTACTGGACCCAGTCTACAATACTAACGAGCATTCACAGTCTTCCAGGTTTTTTTTCTAGCTATAGTTATGCATTGTCTCTAACCAGTGTTTCAGTTGGAGTCCAGAGGGGTTTATTTTGTTTTGGATTCCTCTGCCATTTGTCACCAGCTGTTTTGTTGCTTTTTCTATTTCTCAGTCGGTAACAGAGAGAGTTATTACTCTTTCCTTCATTCTGTGAAAATATCCTAAGTAAATTGGGCTGCGCTGAGTGAAATGCCTGCCTAATGCAGCTCTGTGGAAGTCGGCATCAGACCCCTTGACCCATATTGTCCAGATGTACTTCAACAACTATGAAAAATCATGGATTTCCTTAGCATTGTTCCTTTCAGTCATTAAGTACATGGGATCCAAATGCTTCCAAATTAGGATACCTAAAGGTTCCCTCTCCAGAGGCTCCTGTGACAAAATGATGCTTTTGCAGAAACTCTCCTTAGCACTGTTTGTTCCATCAGCTGGTTATGAAGCTTGTTTCAGGGCTATTAGAATAATTATGTGCATTAGGAACAAATGTTTCTTTTATATTGATGAGACACACATGCATCACAGAAGTCTGCTGGGGTTGAGAGGTGAGTAAGCTTTGCCTGGGATATTGAGCTTCCAAGGGGGCAGTCTGTGAGATGAGTGCATTTGCTGAGATTTTCAGCACAGCAAGCTGGTGTTGATGCTTAAATTATCATTTGCAGGTCTTAGTTAACAACCTTTATAAAAAATACTAAAAAAGGAAAGGAAGCAGTTTGTTGCTCCAGGTTCCAGATTTTGTTTGCTCACAGATTCAGGTAAGTATTAATGCTAAATTTAGGAAGAGCTATTTTGTTTGTTGTGGACAACAGTGAGAAAATCTGCACTGATTTGTATGGCCACTGAGGAGGCAAGGACCTGAGGGTGTAGTCTCTGGCTGCCCAAGAGTGCCCTGAGAGGTGGCACTGAGCCTCCCTCGGCCAGGGATGACCTGGCTCTTGGGCACTGTGCTTGCCCTTCCTAGAGATGAGTGAAGATTTAATTAGTTCAATAATGCAGATGAATTCTAACAAGGGGTTGACAGTCTGGTGATGGGAGAATTGACATTAAGTTTGAGGAAGGCACTTGGTGCAGGTCAGGCCCAGCAGGAACCTGAGTGTGGATCTCCTCCACCTGCATGGACCTCCTCCATCCCAGGTGTGTCAGGGCCAAACAAACCTTCTTACAGCAGCACCGCCAGACCCAGCCTCTTCCTTTGCCAAAGTGAGAATGGGAATGTGAGGGAAAGCAATTTCCGTACTAAAATACTTGAAAATGTCTGAGTACTGATTACTGTTAACAAAGATGCTCTGCTCTTTGCAAACAGGAAAGAAGGGCATACTTTTTTAGTGCACCTTTAGATTCCGAGCTGTGGTGTGGAACAGCCCTCACTGCACCATCCACAGCATCGTTGGTACTCCACAGCCTTGTATTACACGCTAACAGGCACAGACAATTTATTGTCTGTACATAGCGGCCATACCTGTTAGCTCCTGAGCATCCTATTGCTTAAAATCTCTCTTGAACAACACCAGGTTTTCTTCTACTTGTGTCCCCTGGGTATGGACCTCACCCTTGGCAAACATGAAGTTTGTACAGTGCTGTCTCTCCCACAAAGTGTGAGAAGGACACGAGGTAATACTGACTGCTCACATGGGGAGCTCTGTGGAGTCTGGGTGGCACAAATCCAGGCAAAAGCTGCATGGGCACACAAGCTTTGGCTGTGCCAAATTATTGACATCTTTTCAAAGCAGAAGAATGCATATAAATTGGAAGGACAGACATGCAGCAGAGTCTTCCTTATGGATCCATAGTGCACACTCTTACACCCAGCATCCAATGAGTTTTTTGGGTACAAGACAGGCTTCTCAGACATTGCCTCCAGGAGCTGCAGGGGGCTAAGACTATTGTTTTCATGTTTTCAATTTCTAGGTAAATGCCATCAGCCATGTCGAAATGGGGGCAAATGTACTGGTAAAAATAAATGCAAGTGCTCCAAAGGCTATCAGGGAGACCTGTGTTCAAAGCGTAAGTACCACTCCATTAGTGCTTGTGGGACTGATCAAGCTGTCTGGGCAGCGTCTTTGTACAAAATGTCAGCACGAATTGTTGTCAAAGTATTTCATTAATTTACTTTATGGACATACAGCATACACCAGACTGAAGGGAATTATGAAACCAGAAACATTTTTTTTTTTACAAAAGCCTCCCCGCAGTTTCTTCTGTACCCTGAGTCTGTACAAAACAGCAATGTGTCAGATCAGTAATAGCAGATTGGTGATAGAGAAATGCTTCAAGACCAGGGTGGACAGAGCCTTGGGGGACATGGTTTAGTGTGAGGCATCCCTGCCCCTGGCAGGGGGGGTGGAACTAGATGATTTTAAGGTCCTTTCTGACCCTAACTATTCTATGATTCTGTTCTGCATTGTAACGTAAAAATCCAGTAGGATCACTCTGTGGGAGGGATGCTGGGCCCTACCCTTCTTCTCCAGCTGCTTCTGGTGGACACTGAGCTCTTCTGTTCAATCTGCCTCTCTAAGCCAGAGACTGAGCCAGACCTCACAGGTGAAAGGGATGTGAGCTGTTTTGGGGATCTGCATACACTCAGTGTGAAGGCACAGATTTACTGGGAGAGTCCCAGCCTGTGCCAGGACCAACCCATTGTGGGGACCAGCATGGAAAGCAAATATGCAACTCTGTCTCTGGATGAAGTGTCGAGAGGTCAGATGCATTCTCTTGCTTTCTTACAGCTGTCTGTGAACCCAGCTGTGGTCTGTACGGCACCTGTGTTGAGCCCAACAAATGCCAGTGCAAAGAAGGCTGGCACGGGAGACACTGCAACAAAAGTAAGTGAGAAACAAATCCTGAGAATCCATACTGGGGATCTTACACATGGGATGCTTCAGAAATGACTGCTTCAGGAGCCTTTCCAGCATTTCATTTTTTATAAGCTTTAATCCAAACAATAAAGATTTTCAATACTCCATAATTTTAACTAAAAAACCTCCCTCAGAATAATTTGAAAGTGTTTCACCAACATCACACTTGTATTAGAAATTCCAGAATCTGGTATCAATGAAATCTCTAGAAGATCTTGCACGTCTTCCACCCGTAGTATAGAAGGGATATAAAGTCTTTCAGTACTTTAGTAATATCAGCTACCTTTAACTGTTGGGTATGCATTTTTAGAAATGAAAGTCAGGTTTTAAAGCAGATTTAAACTTAGAAAAATGAAATGTCCTTTAGAAAATGGGGAGATCTTGTAGAGTTATGCCAGGTTGGATGAAGCCTTGGGTGAGACGGTTTTGTGTGAGGTGTCCCTGCCCATGGCAGGGGGGTTGGAACGTGATGATCTTAAGGTCCTTTCCAACCCTAACTATCATTCTATGATTCTATGATTCTAAGATCTATGCTTAACAACTTCAGAGTTTTTCTTCCTCTTCCCACCCATGCTCCACAGACTACAAAATAAATTGTCTCAAGGCAAAGTTGAATTCCTCAAAATACATTTCTGTTGTGATTATTGGTCCATTTGACACCTATTGAAGCAACAGATCACTTCACTGGGTTTAAAATAGTACTATAAAATTATCTGAAATACAATTGGGCATATGCAGTAAGAACTTCAGACTTAATTCTAATATTTCATGTACAACAGTGCTGTAACAGCAGATCTTCATACCACATTCCGTACATCCTCTTATGAGTTATTGTTTATCACTGTTAGCTAATAATTCATGTTTAGTGTTTTAAGTGTCAGTAATAAAAAAGTTGAGAGATTTTGCAGCTATAAGACCCACAAATTAGCCATAAAAAATGTGAACCTGTATTGCAGCATCAACTGAATGTTCGCTTTTATTAAATGCTGTTGATGCCTGTGATTTCTATCACATTAAAATGTGTCGGAATAAATATAGCTGTTTTGTCAAAAAATTAGTCTTATCTAAGTAAAATGGATTTTGCTGTGAAAATTCGGTTTGGGGACTGTTAGTGTGCTGTTAGTTAATGGACTTATGTTAACTATTCATGCCATTCTCTGAAGGAGAAATAACATTAATGTAAGTTATGGTTAGAAACAAATTATATGGAAATGAACCTACGTGAACTTCCATTCATAGGCTCTCTATGAACTTGTTCTTCCTGTCATACTCTTCTTATCAAAAACTCAGATAGCAAGTGAATACAAATACGTGCTATAGGTGACAATCCCCAAAGAAGTAATTAGCTGTACACCAAATCCAAAACTCATAACTGCCTTGTTATGAGGAGCCTATAGTCACAGATTATTGCCAGCTCCAAGGTTTTCTAGCCTTCATTACTGGGAGTTTGGGTAGTCCTGCTGGGTTTAGCACTGCAAAACTCTCTGTATTCAGGAAAGAAACGGAGAATAGACCACTTGGGTAAAATTCACTCTTATTTTAAGCGCATGTACTGCAAGTCATTCTTTGCAACTAAAGCTAAACATCTCCTGATCTTGAGAGCAGATTTACAGTCAATTTGAGAGACTTACATCATACTCCATCAAATGAACGGCTCCTTGGTAAATCTGTTGTCTTAAAAGGAAGTGGTTCAAAAAATCAAACGGGGGACTTGGTTTTCCAAAGTAATTTCCTTCAGCTTTCAGTAATGAGATGGGTAAATTAAACTATAAATAATTACAACGTAATACTTTGAATTCCATTTTTATTGTTCATTTTCATTTTCCACAACAAAGCAGCCCTGCTAAGCCTGTTTCAGACTGCTTCCCCCCCAGCCCAGGCCCCGAGGTGTTTTTTGTCGCTGCTGTTCTTTGTATTCAGCCATAAACCAAAGCCAAGCTTAGGTAGCCGGTGCAGATTCTCCCCTGGGGGATGCTCATGCCCCTCTTTAGAGCCAGTCCTCCGCAGATCAGCATGAATCTCACCCAGCTGGCATGGGCTGTGCATGCATGAACCGAGGACTGAGTGAAAGCCTGGGCATGCTGATAGTGCCCTGGGCTCCCTGGTGAGACAGGAGCATCTTTCCTTCTGGCAGCATGTCGCCCATCCCGGGGGGCACAGAGAGGGGTGAGTGCTTGTGCAAGGCACAGCAAAATCCTTTGTTCAAACAGGGGAGACTGTTTCCATTTGAAATATTAGCTGTGGATTGCGAGCCCACTTCTGTGGTTTCTTTTCTCTTGAACTGGATAATTTTCCAGGGTATGGAGCCAGCGGTCTGAGCGCCCTGAGGCCAGCAGGCAGCAAACACAGGCAGCACACGCCTTCGCCAAAAAGGGCAGAGGAGAGGCATGTTCCACCCGAATCCAATTATATCTGGTGAACTCCAACATCTGAAACGGTTCGTGTTACATAAAGTTCATAGCCTTCATTAACCTCTCATGGATTGAATGTTAAACCGCTGTTCATTACAGTTGAGAGTACCGGCTGGAATTTTATTAGCTTCATTATAAACCACTGAGCTGATATTTACTATTCCTTTTAAGTTTTATAAATACTTCTATAGCATGATTATATAGGCTGCTTCTTTCAGTGCTGTGGATGGTGTTTTGTACTATACTTCAGTTGCGTTTAAACTTCCTTTTTTGATTGTATAGCTGCAAATATTTTCCAAAAATTAAGTAACAATTTTCAAGCAGAAAACCTCAAAGATGCTAACCTGAATCATGTCATTGGCTTCAGATTTCATTTGCCTGAGACAAAAGAAAGGGGCATTTTACAGTTTTGCTATGGTGTAGTTAGAATTTTCCCTAAGAAAAAGAAATAAATATGTTGCCTAATTTAAAAACTGAACAACTGAATTCAATGTTATCTTTGGCCTTAACAGTTTTGCAAAGTAATGTGTATTAAAAATACACTACAGTGGTGCCATTTAACCAGTGTAATACATTGCAAACAAAGTAGAACTATAATGTATGAAGTTTCTGCATCAGCTTGAAGCAATATAATATATTGTAAACAAAACCGCTCGTACATAATAAACTTTTTATACTGATGGTTATGTATAAAATAAAGATGCTGCTTTAGTTTTTCGAGTGCTCCTCTGTGTGGCCTGCTGTGGTCCCACCAGCGCTGGGGCGGCACGATGGCTTGTCTAGAGCATCCTCATAAAACAGTGGCACAATGGGGTTGGTTTCCCTGTCTCTGCTTCAAGTCCTACAGCTCTTAATAATATTTCAAAAGAGCAACATCTTCTTGTGCCATTGCAAAGGGGGGAATAGCACCAAAGACCAGGTGTTTCTCTCCCTGTATTTGGCCTCCACCATGTCCTCTTTTTCCTCCCTGCATTATCAGCCGGCCATGCCAAGCTGGTGTGCCCTGTTCATGGCATCTCTGGTACCTGGGGTATTCTTCTCAGAGCCTCTGTCCAAGCAGGTAATAGTCCAGCCTGGGTGATGTTTTCTTTTCAAGGGTCGTGCTCCCATGTGGTGTTGATTCAGACTACGGAAGATTTGGGTGCTGTTTCTTGTGACAGCAAAGGGCCATGCAGTTTGTAATGTGCTGTGGTCAGGAAGCAATGAAAATGGTTTCTGGCAGTGCTGAAGAACGATATCCACTTCAACAAATAATTACTGACCCTTGCTGTACTGTTCTGAGAACTGTATTGTCTGGGAGATAAATAAATAAATAACAAATAAATTGGGGTATAAAATTAATCTTAACGAGTGAAAGGTTTTGAGTTGCAAAGGAAAAGTCCAGTTTATTAACCTGACTTTGCTGGTTTTATTCAGTCAGTGGACCCATAGGCTAAATAAAAAGACTCCTTAGGCCAGAGAAAGGAAGGACAGCTACCTAAGGATCTGGTTTTACGTTGTCCTTCTTGTGGCGGGACTGCAGATGCTGCCTATCAAGCCTGATTCAACAGGAGACCGACCCCCTATCACCACACATGGCTGCAGCCCTCCTGGTCTTGTGCAAGGAGAAACCAGCTGGGGAAGGAGGGGCAGGGGCCCCCAGTAATGAGAAACAGCCTCTAAGAGGTGGTTTGGCCGCTTGCCTGATACCCCTCCTTGGCATGGCAGTAAAACAGCTCAGGTTTGTTGAAGAAGGAGCTTTCTTGGCGTGGATGTGTAACAGCTATGGTTGGTGGGCTCCAAAGTGGTGGTCCCCCAGCCCTCACGTCTCCCGTGGGACCCCTGGCACCTCTCTGGCCTGCTGGGGGGAGCCTGGGGCGTGGGGCTTCTGGTGGTAAAATACCAGCTGTGAGTGAGAGCTGGGCTTTTCCCTTCACTGCAACCAGCAAAGAGGGCTGTGGGACAGGAAGGAAGCTCAGCCTCTGCCCCCAGCCAGTGCTCTCCAAAAAGCATCATCTTCAGATCAGAAGAGAATGGAAAATGGAGCCTGAGGCACAGGAGAAGACACTTTCTGAGAGGAGCCTTTTTGAGATTTTCCTTAAAAAGTGATGAAAGAATGAGATTAATATGAGGATGCCCCAGGAGCTGTGTACAAACATCTATGTCACATTTGCTATCTTTTTGCTCTTCCTGTAGCAAAGATTGACTTAAGTGATTGGTCACACTCTACAGTAAAAAGCACAGAAATTTTTTACTTAAAATTCCTCAGATATTTTGGCTGAACTTTTTCTACTCCTGTCAGTTTCTTAGAGAGTGCTTCCTTAAAAATAGCAAGTGGATTCTTTTCTACGGAGTAATCTGTTCTGCTGCTTGTTCCAAGGACACTAAATGCTGCTGCTTTGTTTTCAGTTTCACCACTTATTTTTGGAAAGATCATTAATCGTGAGAAGAACATGGTTGCACAGGTTATGAAAGGCAAAAATATTCCTCAAAAGTCCACACCGTAACACAACTCTTTTTCTTACACAGCATCAACTTTTCTACACACAGATTTTCCACCACTTCGCCTTTAATGCCACTGTGAGCACAAAGTTTCCTGGGTAGAGGCAGTCCCCCATGTCAGAGAAGTTTTAAGTTACAGTCGGTGATATCCGGCAATGCTAAAAGAAGACATTATTTCCTCAGAAAAAGGCCTGTAGAAAGTTGGAAGCAATTTTGCCATTAGGAAATGAACTACAGGATTTATCACTCCCTCTCACTGGGCAGGACATACGTATGGGGAAAAACAAATGTATGCCCCATCGATGAAAATCAGTTAAAGTAACAAGTCAAAATACTACAGGAAGTCAGACAGAAACTGCCTTTTCAACACTGTTTGTAAAGTCTGTAGTTAGCCAGAGCAAGATGCCAAATGTTGTGCTTGTGAGCAGCAGCTAGGAGATGATGAAAGCTGGTAAAATAACATCAATGGTTAAATCACCATAGCTCTACCCCAGAAATCCCAACTTAAGCAACTGACAAAATCATAGCTTTACGAAGTGCTTCTAATAGTGCTCAATAATTCGGATATCTAATATTGGCTTCCTGCTATGTCCAGGTGCGCACAACAGTTCAAAGGACAAATACATAAGGCACAGAAAGAAAACAGAGACAGACACCCTAAGGGCAAACAGCCTTTTTTATACCACTGCCATTAGTGAACCGATGCACATGGGGGTTTTTGGTAATTTACAGTTGAGGTTAGTATCCCCTTAATTCTGGCTTTGCCACTCGATTTCAAATATGTCACTTCTAATGCCTCTTCACTTGACTCTTTGGGAGCTGGAGAGGATGTGGGTCTTTTTCTTGTTTGTGCTATGCGTGCATCAGCAGGATAACTTCATTATTGCCTGTAAAGCAAGCCCTGCGGCTGTGCTGCTGGGGAAGCAGAGGGATGGCACTGCCATGCACTCGGTGATGCTCACGGTGTGTCTCTGGGAGGCAGCGCTGGCTACCAGGACTTGGCACTCTTTCCCCATGTGGTGTGAATGCACGGTCCAGTTGTTCTTCCAGCTTCAGCTTCAATATTAAGGAAAAAAAAAAGTGATAAAGAGAAAAAAATTCAAAGCTATTCCAGATGACTGGCTGCCTGGAAGATTCAAACTCCAAAAGCCAGGCTCAAACCTTTGGCCAGACCTAGCGCTATTAGTTCAAACACTGCAGCTTTGTTTCTGCTGGATAGATTTGTTACCTTTCCCTGCCTCTCACTGCTCTACATCACCTGTTCTACTAAGTTTTCCCGCTATGGAAAAAATTCCTACATGCAGATACTACGGGGAGATCTGGCAGCAGCAGTGCTGGAGCTACCTGAAACGGCCTGAAGTCATGGCAGGGTTTCTCTGGTGCCTGCCCTGCTCATGGCATTACATTGGTGGGGTTGAGGTATAGCTCAGAGCCACAGTTTCACAGCAGCTCTGGGCCTTGCCGTCATTTCAGCTCAAGTCTAGAGAAACTGCATCGGCCAAAAGTGTTCTCATCCATAACAGAGATTAAATCCCACTAAATCCCACAGGTCTTGTAGTGTGAATATGACTTCACATTCAGTGAGGTGGCAAGGTGCTACAATTAACCAGGCCATAGCCAAACCAGGGATGCCCTCTTCATCTCTAAAACCTGCCACCAAGGTTTGCTCACATGATGCTTTACATGAAAAAGCATTGAGGTAAAAAAGAAAATCTCAGGTGAAATGAATCCCAGTTGTTGTCGTTTATTTTCTCTTGCAGCTCTCTGATGGGGTGGCTGCTGAACTACAGACCAACTGTATGTGCATGGCATCCAGCACCCAGCTCCTGCTGAGCATGACTGCTTGCATGGTCCTCAGTGCAAACTACTCCGTATTTTTGGCTTAGAACAAAATATTCTATTATTTATACGAGTTATAGAAATTGCATTTTAATCACTTTCCACATCGCACATCAGAGGACAGGAACAGCCTTGTTGCACAAATCTTTCCATGGAAAAGTGAATTTTTAAGAGGGTTTAGCACACATATCCTGTCTAGCCAAGCCACAGCTCATAAGCTGCTTAGATGCTTGTGAAGAACATCCTCACAAGTACTCTCTAACACTTTCTTTCTTGGTGTATCCTTGGAGGATCTTATGGCTGGGGAGGGAAGAGAGACCAGTGTGTTCTTTAAGCACACATTTTGCAGAAGGGATCTGTTTCCTCAAACCTGGTCTACAGGGATGAGTCAAATGTCAGGCACACTTGATGACCAGCTACTTCTAGGCACATGTGCCCCAAAGTGACAGAGAAGCTGTGAAAACTGGTGCTGGCTTCAGTATCTGGCCTTGCTGGTGCTACCTGGGGGCAGCCTGGGCAGAGGAGAAGGTGAGGCTGCCCGCAGGCAGCAGTACATGAGGTCCCACCATACCCAGAAAGAGAAGCCAAAGAGAAATACCTCCTTAAAAGCTTGCTGGATTTGACATATCCTCATGCAACAGCTCTCACTATGCTGCAGAAATATCCATCTCAAAGGTTGTTCTGGAAGAGTTTAAGAAAAAAGAGTTGCTGAACAAAGCATCTTGATGGAAAGAGGAATGGAAAACCCCACATTTCTTCTTAACTCTGCTTCATTTCCAAGCAAAACCCATTACTTTTGTATGTGTCCCCTTCAGCATCCCAGAAAACAGAGAGGGAATAATTACAAGGCAATAAGTAGCTAACTGGGAGGTATGCTTTGTCCACCGTACCCAGCACAATTAAGGTCTATAAAAGACAAGTCACTGAATGTCCCTTTGAAATGAAGGGAGGGGAGAATCTTTTGAAAACCTTGCAGGCCATTTACAGTAGAGCGGTATAACACTATTATTTCATATCTTTGAAGCTGCTATTAGAGGCAAATAATATTGATGTGCAACTGGAGTGCAACTATAAAGCTGCTGCCTCACTGCTTTGGATCTGAAAACACAGCTACATGGAACAAATGTAACTTGGCTCTTTTATGGGATGTATTTGGAGCCTGGAAGTAACTTCTGCTGAACTCATGAAGGTTTGCTTGACTTTCAGGCCTTTGTGGGTCAGCTGTGTTAGAGCATCCCAGGCTCAAGGGCATCTTGAGCTGTTTGATCCTGCCTGTTTTTCCCAGTTTAGCAGAGCTCTCCCAGCTGAGTTACCCATCAAAGCGCAGAGAAGAGCAGCAATGAGGAGCTGGCAGTGGCTCTCTCCCCTTTCAGACAGTACTGGATCATTGCTCACATGAAAG